TCCCTGAAGGTCAGTGCTAAAGCAACTGGAGAGGGTGTCTCTCCCCTAGCTCAGCTCCACCACCAAATCCTGCAAGCAGTGAGGGGCGAGAGGGGTTAACGGTTTGAAACGTGCTGGAGTTGTCTGACGTTGCGAGCAGAGCTCGATTGATGGATCTCTGGCGGTGTCGACCCTTATAATTGTTGGAGAATTATTCAGCACTGAATAAGTTGAGCCAGATCTGAGCCCCGTGCCTCATTGCTGAGTCATATGCACGTAATAATCATGATGTGGCTGATCTCGCTGCCAAGTGGATGCTGGATGTTGTACAGTTGATTGTAGGCATGCATCATTTTGACAGGAACTGTTCTGTCCTGTGGAATCACATCGATCGAAGGACCTTGCCTAAGGCTGGTGCTGTCTCTGCTCCTTCTCATGTCTCTGTGCCACGCAGTAATCTGAAGTAACAAACTTTGCACTGGTCGCTTGAACAATCAGACTCCTTGGATAAATGTTAGCAGCCTTGAGGGTGTTTCTTCGCCGGGAAAACAGTTACGTCCGTCAGCAATGTTTTTTGATTTCCTGCCCGTGCAGTTCCGCGGTCGGAGCGAGTGATAGATTCTGACGGCCTGTGAGCCTGTGTGTGTGTCTGTGTGTGTGTGTGTGTGTCTGTGTGTGTGGGTGTGTGTGTGTGTCTGTGTGCGTGGGTGTGTGTGTGTGTCTGTGTCTGTGTGTGTGGGGGGGAGTGTGTGTCTGTGTGTGTGTGTCTGTGTGGGGGTGTGTGTGTCTGAGTGTGTGTGTTTGTGTGTGTCTGGATGTGTGTGTGTGTGAGTGTGTGTGTCTGGAGAGGTGTGTGTGTGTCTGGATGTGTGTGTGTGTGTGTCTGGAGAGGTGTGTGTGTGTCTGGATGTGTGTGTGTGTGTGTCTGGGGGAGGTCTGTGTGTGTGTGTGTGTGTGTGTGTGTGTGAGAGTGTGTGTGTGTGTCTGGGTGTGTGTGTGTGTCTGGATGTGTGTGTGTGTGTGTGTGTGTGTGTGTAGGTGTGTGTGGGTGTGAGTGTGTGTGGGTGTGTGTGTCTGGATGTGTGTGTGTGTGTGTGTCTGGGGGAGGTGTGTGTGTGTGTGTGT